TCTTGCTGTTTGTAAACTACCAAATGAGTAATATTGGCATTGAATGGTAATATTGGCATGAATGAGATCTCTTCCAGATTCTTGCTGTTTGTAAACTACCAAGTCTGAACACAAAATGGGATGGGTGGAGAGAATGAAAAAGAACTCTCCACAGTAACACTGAAATATTTTAAAGAGAGATCCTTGAATGCAAAGTGGTAAATACTGACAGTATTCCTAGAGGTTTTTGCTGTATATACCTTCTTGAAAGGGATTATTCCACATTAAGTTTTGTGATTGGTTTTAGTGGTTTTTTTTGTCGTTGTTGTTGTTGTTTTTTCCTGTCCTGGCATTCTGAATTTTCCCAGGAATATGATAATGTCCTCTAGGCCTGAGTTGCAACACAGGTGCCTTGCCATCTTCACTGCCCCCAGCCCATCTTCATGCTATACCCTTTAGGCAACAATACTCTTTCTGTAGAGGATAAAGCAGCTCTTTAAAAACACTCCCAACTCAACAAAACTGGAGCATTCAGACTTGGTGATTGCTGCTGAACAGAAACATCTCTCAGTGAAATTTCTACCTTTTACATCTGGAAACAGAGGCAGAATCCCAGGTAAAGCAAGTATTGATTCCATGAAGCATAACGGGTTTCTGCAGTCTGCTTTCAGGCTGAATCTCACACAAACATCATGAAGGAGCTTTAGACACAGAGTGACATAATATTGGTGCACATTTTTTGCTGTCTTTTAAGCATTTTACTATCCTTACTCTATGCAATCACTCATTCTACCTTGCCCTGCCTTCCTATCAAAGGATATGGATGCTGCAGATATTTCTTAGCTAAGTGCCAATGTAGCTAAAACCAAGGAATGAAAAAAAAAATTGCTGTCTATATAGCTGTTAAACTAATTTATTCCACCACCTTGAAGGAAATAGGGCAGTTTTTTGTGGTGATTTCATGATTTGATAAGAGGACTTCAGTTCTCAATCCATCGTAATTCTCAGTGCCTGACACAGTATTTTGTTCCAGTCCCCACTGAGTTGCTTCCAACTCTCTGCAATCAAAGCACTTAGGGATGTTTTGTACAATCTTTTACTTGCCTTTTTTTTTTTAAATCTGTAATTCAATTTCATATTAAAATACATTCTTCAATATACACTTAGGTTCTGCTGATCTCAAACTACACGAAAGATTTTTGTTTAAAGACACAGAAGGTCCTTGACTCATAAAATACTGCCAGGGTCAAGAACTGGGGTAAGGTCTTACCTATAGTGTCTTTAACCCTGTGGAGATGCATGTAGCGAGTTACAGGATGAAAAGATATAAGCTCCAACATATAAAGTCCTATAGAATTATGTAAACCAAGAAAAGATTATTATTTGCCCCTTCCATTTGCTCTTCTCTTGCAGTTAAGTGACAGTCATGCTTGTATCAAGCTTTACTTGTTTCCCGAGCAACTTATTGGACTAATTTTCTGTACAATACTGAGAAATTAATATTTTTTTAAGGGCGAAGAGCAGCATAACTGGAAAGTCTTACAAAGTTGCTTTTGTCAATAAATTTACCGGTCTGGATTCTTTTAGGTACACAGTGGCTGAAGCTGATATGAATCGCAGAAAATTGGGGCTGTGAAAAAGTGAATTCCATTGCCCATGAAAAGCAGAATCAAGACACCTGCCTGAATATTTTTTCCTGTGTTTGTGATGCAACAGGTATCTTTATGCTGACATGCTGATTGCTAATGGGATGGTGTATGGTGACAGACTAGATCTGAAAACCTACAGTGAAAGTCAAGAGACCAAGATAAAGTATATTGAAACCCTGTTCAGGAAATCTCTACAACAGTTGACTATATTGTGTTGTCTTTCACATGAATTTATATCTTTGTAGGATTTGGAAATTGAAATAATCAAAATAGTTTATTATAAATGTTCTTAATTAGATAATTGTTATCTGATACATGGAAACAATTTTCACCTGCATATTTCTGATACTGCTGCATCTTATCCAAATGCTAAAAAATTCAGGAAACATCACTTTGACAGAACACAACAGCCCATTGAGGTGCAGTGAAAAGAATTTTTTTAAGTGGGATTTTGCACTTGTTAGTTACACCATTTTTGATACAGGGCTACTGTTCTTGGGCTACCATCAATCAGCATCTCTTCTGTCTCTGCTAACTTGAGTGACTGGATCTCTTGAGAACCTATCGTGAAACTCTTACTCCATCTGAGAGTTTACTTTGCATAACTAACACATTTACAGCAACCCATTTGAAAACCTTTTCGACTTCTTAGTATATGGACTAAGATATTACTTGTGGTGACAGGAAAATAATGCTGCAACCAAGGGTTGACAAGATGAATAAGTATGATGTTACTTTATTGCCCATTTCTTGCATAGTATCACACACTGCTCAGCAAGGACTGTGTGCCATTATTTAAGAGTATTTCAGTTTTGAGGGGTATTTTTTTCCATCTTGAAAGCTAAGAATCAAAATACTCTACAACTGTCATTTAAAATGGGACCATCTTAGCTGGCTTCTCTGTGAGATTACGGTACTTGTAGTCTAATTGAGATATTTTTAGAACCAGAAGCACCCAGCTGGGAACCAGGTTGTTTGCCCATTGTAAGACACCAAAAATCTTAGCAATCCTTAAACATGCCACATGAACAGTTCTGCATTTTGCCAATACTGGTGTTCACACCAGTTATTTCCTCCACTTTTCAATCAAACACACAGACACAAGTGAGAACAAGAGGGAAACAATTTATTTGACAAGTTGCTTAAAATAAATGGGAGATTTTGAAGGTGATAAGAAATTTTAACAGGCAGAGATAGACCACAACCCCATAGTCAGAGAAAAAGTGGTATTATCAAGAGTGTATAGCAAAGCATGAACACATTTGTAAAAGGAAAAGTGTTGTATGACTTTGCACACTGTCAATACAATGATGAAACCCCTAGCCCATAGGCTTGTCTGGGCACACAGAGCCTGCAGTGTTGCTAAGACAATGTTACTGCTATAGGCACATTTAGATAGTGGTGTATTTACAGCTAGCAAAAATAATGAGTTATGCAGATCAACCCAAACTTGGCTCAATGGAACCTTTTAACTTCCAAAACCCAAGGATATACATTAATTTTCCACACATAATGCACCATGATATCCACATATATTGAATTTGTTAGATATGTTCAATTGCTTTTTTGCTAGGATAGCCAGACTGAGAGAAGGTTTCACTACACATGGCATAGGGGTACTCTGGGACTGGAACAAGTGTTCTCTGACTACGAGTGCACACACCAGAGCAGAGATATTTTGGCATTGCTTGAATGCTTCTTAATATGAAAATCAAAAATTCTTGTCATTCCAGCACCAAATATTACCAACATTATGAGCATCAGGCTCATATTGATATCTGGTCATATTCAGGTGTGGCAAATGACACATTTCTGTGGTGTAATGATAATGAATAGCAGACATTCAGAAACAGTCAGCAGTGTCAGATGTGCCCCCAAGTTAGCACTTGCAGGTGCATTTCACAGTGAAGGATTAAAGTGTTTTATCTTGAGACCTCCTGGCCTTATCATATGATTGCAGAAAGAGGAAAAAAAAAAAGTGCCTATTATACATCTAAAGCCAAATGATTTACTGCACAGCATATCCACCATCTTCCTTTCAGGGCTATACTTCAAGAGGTTTGGCAGTGAAACAGCCTGGCTGTGTGAGAACAGAAACCTCCGCTGGTGAACAGTGAGAGTGGCTCTGTAAAATCAGCCAGGGAAGAAAAGCTGAAAAATGGGGTGGGGGCCGTGTGTGTTTTGATTTTAAAAATGCTTAAACGTTCTTTAACTTAGTTGTTTGGGTTTTTTTTCTAATGAATACATACATGAGAAATTTACATGAGAAATTTATCTCCCACACAGTCTTGTCTGTTTCATCCGGAAAAGTGTGTTTTCCCATTCTGTGCAATTTCAATTCTTACAACTGGGAAAAGGTAATGAAAACGCCTTGACGAGTTGCCCCCAGCCCCCTAAAGGATGGCTATTTTGTTTCTGGGAGGAAAACCCGAGCAGCTACTTACTTGAGCCGAAAGGCACAGCGTGGCGGTGTGAGGCACTGGCAGTGCGGGCGAGGGGCACGGGTTGTTCCCCCCGGAGCGGGGCCGGGTGGCGGCCGGCAGGACGGGACGGGACGGGAGCGGGGGAGGCCGGGGGCCGCCCTGGCCCCGCTCCAGCGCCAGGTGCGTGCTGCGGGGCTTCCCCGCTCCGGCCAAGGTAGCTGTCGGTCTCTATTAAATGGCTGCCTGCTTTTCGGGGCTGCCGACTGCTTCACGGTTTGGCTGTTGATTTTTTTTTAGCAGCTCTGCCGTCTCTCGGGGGCAGCTTTCCCCCCCTCCACCTCCCTAGGTGAGGCTTCATCCCACCGCCTCGCCGTCCGCCCCCGCCTCAGCCCTTCCCGGGGAGCCGCCGCCGCCTCTTCCCTCCGAGCATCCCCCCGGGCCCGCACCCCTCCTGGCTCCCCTGCTCCCGGGCCAGGGTGTGCCTGGATGTGGGCTGGGGCCGGCCCGGCCCGGCCGTGCGAGGCGAATCGCGGCTTTCCCCGGGAGCGGGAGGCGGTGGCCGGTCCGGGGGCGGCGGGGTAGGGCAGGGCAGGAGCTCCGGAGCGCCTCAGCCCGCGCCGTGCGGGGAGCGAGCGGCTCTCCAGCCCGCCTCGATCTCCGAGCAACACCTTCACCCTTGTCCCTCCCCCACCACCCGCCGGGGATTTTTTTCCTTTTCCTTTTTTTTCCTTTTCCTTTTTTATTTTCTTTTTTTTTTTTTTTTTTTTTTTTTTTTTTTCTTCTCCTCCACTCTCCTGCAGCGAGTTAAATATTTCTTTTGTTAATTGACGCCCAAAGTGTTCCCAATCCCTTCCCCGCGCCGCCCGGGCCGACCGAGGACGTGTGCACGCCCAGATCCGCTCGGTGAAGCAGCACAGATCCGCGGGGCCGAGCGGGTATGTGCGTGAGGAGGAGGAGGAGGAGGTGGTGTAAAAGGAGCGACGGGCACAAAGCAGATTTGAGAGGAATAATTTAACTCCGGTGTTTGTTGTTTTTCATGGGCTTGTTTTTTGCCTTCTCTCTCTCTCCTTTCTATCTCGTTTTCTGCTCAGGATTTAAATGTCACTCAAAGCATCCCCAGATCAGCTTTCCGCTCGTCTCCGGTTTCTTCCGAGGCATTAATTGGATCACGCGCTGCATTTGAAGAGCCTGGGTGTTTTACCCGCTAAGGTAAGTGGGTTTATGCACCTACGTGGGGTCTGGATGGTCACTGAAATCCTTTCAGGGTGGTGTTTTTCTTCCCCTTGGCCCCCCTCCCCCAGCTCCGTGGCCAGGTTCCGTTCTACCTGAAGAACTCGCATCCCTAGGTTAAACATCGGTCGATGTAGGGAAACGCGCCGGGGGCAGCGGGGTCGCGGGTGCCCCTCGGGCACCAGCCAGAGACCAGCGGGAGCCGGCGGTCGCAGCCGGCGACCCCCTCAGTTCCCAGTGCCTGAGCTCCGGGAATAGCGCCTGGCATCACAGTAAGGAAAGAAACAGCCTAATCCCCTCTTACAAGAAACTATTCGTCATCATTTTTTTTTTCCTCCGTGAGAAATATTGTAGGCGCTCATCTCCCTCCTCCCCCACCGCCCGCCCCCGTTGCCAGCGCCGGCTCCTTTGCCCGCACCTCTCCTCGCTTCAGGCGGTTCTTTCCAGGGACTAAAAAGTTAAGCTGCCCCCTCTCTCCCCCCACCTGCCCCCATACGTACGCAGTGCATTCTCCTTTTTAACTATTCTCCCTGTGCCTAATCCGAGTCCGTACAGCCCCCCCAACGCTTAAACTAGGTTGCAAAGCCGCTGTACCCTGCAACTCCTAAAACTTCTCTTCTTACTGTGATTTATATTCTATAATAACAAAAAGGACAACAAAAATATACTGGATCCTCCTTGTGGATTACTTTTTTCCCCCTTTTTAAAATAATGCATTTCCTTCTTCCCCTTTAATTTTTTTTTTCAAGGAAATTTGCTCCATCTCCAGCAGCAACCACTGCTCCTTTTGATGTTGTGGTACGCCGTGCGCATGCGCTTCACATTAGAATTACTGCACTGGCCAGAATAAGTTGGATCTCTTCTTCTCTTCACTGAAACCCTAAATCATATCAAAAGCTAAAGGGATGCTGAGAGTCCGGAAAAAGGGTTACTTTGGGATTTGGTCATTCCCTTTAATAATAGCCGCGGTGTGTGCACAGAGGTAAGTGATGAAGGCATCTCTTTTCCTTTACTTTGAATTGCAGTGCATGCTGCTGCTGAGAGAAATGTACAGCTGGGGGCTGAGAAATCAGAAATAATACAGTATTATTCTTTCTTTTTTCTTCAGTGTCAATGACCCTAGTAATATGTCACTGGTGAAAGAGACCGTGGATAGACTGCTGAAGGGCTATGATATTCGCTTGAGGCCAGATTTTGGAGGTAATTTGACTGCTTTTGCATAAGAGAGGTTGCATATCCGGGCTGGGTGCGTTGTGTATGGGGGCGGTTTCAAACGTCTTGTGGGTGCTGTTGCTTTGGGGGGGTGTGTGTGTTGCCATTTCCTGTAGCTGACCCGAAGTTAAGCCCATTGTTTCTCAATTTTCTTAGCAAAGGATGCTCTTAATGCCATCACTTAAATCACTTGTATATTCGTAATCGGTCCCTCTTTGTGTGTGTGTGTGTGTGTGAGAGAGAGAGATGATACTTTACCAACCTGTAATTAAGCCCTTGTTTAACTGGTTTTATCGAGATGCAAATCTCTCCTAAGTTCACCCAGCGTTTGCTCCTTTCAGCCTAATGTGCCTGTGATCACAGTTACTATTTTCGAGTACAAGACGTGCCGTTAACTGATACAAAAATGTCATTTAACCCCCTGCGTGCTCCTACTTCCAACTAGTTTGTTTATTTCGGACGTGTTCCCTGTGGGTGGCCCACCACCTTGTCCCCCCATCCCTCCCCGGGGCCGGGTGCTGCCGTCCCCGGGGCCGCGGAGGGGCGCGGAGCGGGCGCGCCGGTGCCGCACGTGTGCGCTGTTACATAAAGCACCGCCACGGCCCGGGCAGCGTGCGGACCCCGCTGTGGGGGAAAGAGGCTTCATGCCTCCCTCCTGACTTTCTGGTTGTGTTCAAACGTCGTTCCATATGCGCGCTATGCTCGCCCTGCTAACTCTGGTAAGAACGAGTTAAGTTCTTCGAGATCACATTGCGGACCATCTTGTTGGTTTGCAGGTCCCCCAGTGGCTGTGGGCATGAACATAGACATTGCCAGTATAGATATGGTCTCGGAAGTCAATATGGTGAGTACTTCGGGTTCGGGGCCGCTTGCTCTCTGAGGGGGTGGCTGCCGCTTCCCCCGCCCCTGCCAAGGCGGAGCGGTGCCCGCGGGCGTGCGGGGACCCGGCGCGGCCTCCTGCCCCGGGGAGGCGCCGGGGCGGGGCACACCGGCTGCTGGGGGGTCGGGGGCGGCCTTCCCCCGCTGCCGGCGGCGGCTCCGGGCGGGGNCCCGCGCAGCCGCCGCGCCCGCGCAGCCCCGGCGCTGCCCGTCCGCGTGCGCGCTGGAAAACAACAGCCGTCAGCGCCTGCCGTGGCTCAGCCGTGCGCTTTCCATTCAAAACAAAAACAGAGCGGTTTGCTTCTGTCTGCGTGTTCAAAACTTACCTGTTTTTTGGTTTTTTCCCTAGCCTGACTTTTTTTTTTTTTTTTTTTGGATGGTGATGAAAGAGTCAATGATTTTAGAAGTTTAAGTTTTCCGAGATGTTTGTCTTTCTTATTTAGAACTGACTGTCCTCAAATATGGAACTTGTTCAGAATGTAGTACTTTGACGTGTTTCTTTCTGTGTTTCACTTGCATCCCCTGGGAGACTAATGAGGTGTGGAGAAAATTGGACAAGTCTGATTCACACTTTAGAAAGAGCTGTTCTTGACTTAGATGAAACTTTACTAGCATTCAGTTTTATTATTTGGAAATGTGTGGGGTTCAGTTTTGAACTTTTTATCTTAATTTGCATGTTAATTGGTTGAGCACATGGAATTTGGCCTAACACTCATAGGGGCTTATAAAGAACAACAAAAGACACTGAAATATAGTAGCACATGATACAAAAGTGATGCAAAATAAATGTGATTTTATTAAGTATTCTTGAAGAGGTTTCAAGTGAACATCTTTTTAAATGCAAGTGTGATTTTAGGGCTATTGCTGTAGCTGTAACCATGCCTTTGAAAATAACACTTGGAAAGTTATCAGTTGTTTTAATATCATTGTACTACTGAAATATTTAATTCCTCATTGTCATGTTTGGGTTCTCAGAGATGTTGCACTGGATGATTTGGCAAACATTTGTCCTCAAACTGAATGACTTGTGTGATGTACAGGAGTTTTTTCAGATTGTAAAATAAAGCCCTTGGCCTAATTTGAGGATAACATTACAGGTGATTTTACTGTGGGACAGGGAGGTGTTGGTGACCCAGTGCTTGATGCTGCTCTTTTTCAAGATACCAGTGAACCTGAATAATTTCACCTTCTGAAACATTATTCTGGGAAATTTCTAAGTGGCTCAAAGGGGCTCCCAAACTTTGTATCACTAAACTTGTTATCTAGTGTTCTACCTCCAGGAGCTTCAAGTGCAGAGGAAGAAAAGTACATTGTATTTAAAACCAATTGTTTTTTCATTAAGAGAACTGTGGGTAGGAGAAACAGGGACATAGTTATTTTTTAGCCTGCCCTGAGCAGTGAGGGAAGGATGAGGGTTTCTTGTTGGGGCTGCAATCTACCAGGTCAGTGTTGTATCCTCCCATCCCTTCAGAACTGGAAAGTTCATGTGAAAAAATTGTTAAAAATCTTCTGATTATTTTCTTTGTTTCTTTAAATGGTTTCTAGACATTTGGTCTCCAATTAAAGGTGATAGCATATCAGAATATTGTGATCTGATACTTACAGCCTAACTATATAAAGCAGTATTATTTTTAGTATTCTGTAGTCAGTTTATTGTGTTTCTATAATGAAATGTTTGACCTTTCTGAAAAAATGTCTTTTCAAACTATCTGCAGAACTCAGAGGAGGAACTGTATATACAGTTTTGTCCTACTAATTTGCCTAAAGCATTTAAGATCTGGGCTTATTTTACTCTAAGAAGCCACCCATTTCTTAAACCCAGGCAACGTTGCATAATTTTTTTTCATTTACAGTTTCATTAGAGATACCAAACCAAGATTATAATCTGCTTAATTGCAAAATGTAACACTTGATTTTACAATGGTCTGTATAACATAGCAAGTCCTAATATACCCTGAATATAACTTGAAATAGGTGAGGAGAGAGACATACAAGGAAACAACAAAATACTTAGTATGCAAGGCCTTGGCTTTTTTGCTTGCACATTCACCAGAATTTGGAGTAAAAACCAGGAGGAATACCATGGAATGCCATGATGCAAAGACTTCTGAGATAATAAGAGACACAGAAAGAACCTTTTGGATTTATGGACCTGTTTTGCTCTAAGCATGGCCTTGCTGTAGCTTTGTCTGTAGTCATGGCAAACACTACTGACTTTAGATAAAGGCAGATCATTGCCTGGACTCATGTACTAACATTATTGGGATCAAACCTATGCCTTGGGAGAAAGGCTAAATAATAATAGTTATTCATCTTGAGATAATTTCTATTCATTTTAATGTTTATTTTAAAATTACATTTATTTCTCAGTCTTGATATATTGCATCTACCCTATAAACCTGTGCCACCCTGCAGGGAGAATGTTTGTCACTCCAGTGTCATGAAGTAAATCATGAACTTTTCACTTTGTTGAACAGGATAATTTGGACTTGCTCTTATAGAAAGTAAAAGTATGGATTAAGGATATTCAAGAATATTATTGTTGACTTTGAGTTCTTAAAGAGGTGATAAGTACTTGCATCATAAAGAACTCATATCGTATAAGGCTTTACAGGTGCCTTATAATTATTTATTTTATGTAACAGAGGTGAAACGGTAAACTCTTTACCTTGAGCAGTCAGCAACTTGAACTAGAATTTGTCTGAGTTTACAGGAGTGGTTTCAAAGTACTGGCACTTGTGAAAACAATTTGTTCTAGCTCTGGGGAATGCATTGAATGAGCATGAGAAACTTGTGAGAACTTTAAGTGTTTGTGGTTATCAACAAATATCATGACTATTTTGACTAATTTCTTTGTATTCTGCAAAGAGAAAATCTGCAGCAGATATTTTATGTGATATAGGAATGATGATGGCTAATTCCACTCAGCAGCAGGTCCTGCAATATTGTTGAGTGTATCCTTTATTGGAGTTATACTGTAGATTTCCTTAGGGATTCTCTTATTCAGGTAACAATGGTGAACAAAGATGGAGATCTGTGAAGGCTACTTAAATGGTTTTCCTGGGCTAATGAATTTGATCTTATGTAAGATTAGCTATGGTGCAGTGAGTCTAATGCAATGTTCACATTTCCACATTTTCCTCTCAGTTAGTTTTTGGAATAGACCCCTTGAAAATGTAGCAATGAAGGCTATTCTACATTCTAGTTTTCTCCCTTTTTCTCCCAACTATTCCCTCATGAACTCTTTGTAAAAACTGTTACAGGTTCATTAAGAAGTACAGAAATAAATTTTCTTCCCTAGACTCCCCTGAAGATTCTATGTATTATGTTGTGCATTTGATCAATCTAGATAAGACATGAGGATTTCTATGGATAATGTTGGTCATGTGTTAGTTTTCAATGTCTTGGCTTATTCCCTATTAAATAGGTCAACATTTCCTTCCTTTTTTCCACCCCCCTGGTCTGTGGCTATTCTGGGATTCTAGTACAGAATGTCTTCAAAAGAGAGAGAAATATTCTGTAGCTACAGATTTTACTCAGGAAATATATTCTTGTCGATGTTGGGTTGTATACGTGTCCTGGTGTGGCTGTATGGTCCAGTGTCACTATTGTATGGTTTATTTTTTCTAGATATAATTAAATATAACTATTCAGTGTGGGTGATTGGGGTCTGCAGAGAGGAATCTGAAGTGTTTATTTAAGTCCCAGTGTTTGCTTGCCGAGTATGCAGGTTTTGGCACATGGAGTCAGGAGTGTGTGTGGAGTTAGAGATGATATATTGGTTTGTCTTAGTGGGGCCATTACCGTTGATTGAGAGCATAATCCTTCCATCAAGTGGGAGCTGGAGAAACAAAGGAGCTGTTACCATCTATCAGGGAAAGGTTTATTTCTTAGTGTGTGCCAAGTTTTACATAGCAGAGCCTAATAGCTTCAAAGCTGTAAAAAAAAAAAAAGCTTTTTATTTTTTCTATGTATTATATTTCACTTCTGTATCTGAGTTATGCCAAAGTTGCACAAAACAATAAGTATAATTCTCATAGATCAGAATATTCTCAGAAATGTGCAGGCATAGCTGTAATTTGCTGGTAGCCCTCATATTTTGAGTTGCTCTTGATAATGGTAGCCCACTATTGGCTTACTTAAAATCTCTCCTTTTTCTTGAGATATTTTCAGTAGGGGACATTAACAAAGCTCAGGGTTTAGATTATGAAATAGATTTAAATAATGAAAACAACAGGAGCTATGTTGCTGCCTCTCAAATAGCAGCAATTATCTTTATGTGTGTAAAGGGAATAGATGGTCTGTGATATAAAAACAAATGGGGATTAAGTGGTAAGAAAATAGGGTGGAGCTGTTCCAAATATCAAAACTTCATGGAAAAGTCCTGAGAGAGAAAAATGAAAGGAGGAAAATTCGTCCTATATACACTGGTGCAGAAAGAGATGAGAAAAATGGTCATGGAAATGGTTTCTGCCAGCAATATCTTCTCTTTTTAGTCCTTCCTAGTTGTTTATGTTGCTGCATATATTCTGTAGAGAGAAAAAGGAGAGAACAGGGCTGAAAATGCATTAAAAATGAAATATTGGAATATTGAGAAGGTGCTGCTTTGCTAAATACTTCTGCTGCCATAAACAGTTGGTTTTATTAGTTTCTCTGTGTCATAAATGCATGTGTTTCTTCACATAAAACTGCATTTCTCAGCAGACAGTTTGAATTTGGCTCTTGTCAAATTATTGTGCTTATGCATTACTGACTCATACTGAAATGTGTCTACAGAGACTTCTGTGAAAGCAGAGCAGGTGATCTACATCTTGGAAGTGAGAACTTTTTACTGAAAACCTTGTTTCACCTTTTCCTCCAGTTACTGTCTGGAATAACATCACAGGACATTTTTGAACTTAACTAAATTACATTAGTATGGGTTTCCATTTTTGATTACTACATGTCTCTAATTCAGGCATTTTC